ATCTGTTGCACCGGTCCTTTCTGAAGCGGTTCCCTTTGTTTATTGTGGCTTCTCTTCGGTGTCTAATTTCCGCCCTGACACAGGCGGGCAGAGGTGATCTCTTATTTAGGTTCCCTAGTTCAGTTTAGTCCTACTACGGGGAGGGCGGTGCGCTGCAGATAGATACCGCTCCGTGTGGCTAGCACTCACCGGCCACACTGGGTTTGCCCCGCTCACGGGTGTCAGTGCTTTCCCCGTCTACACTGCTCAGGCTCCCAGCTCCTCTATATGGAGCGGGCCATGCGTTGAGTGCGGTTCAAGTTTTTGGGTACTCCACAAAAGCGCGGATTCGGTTGCGCCTGCATTTTGTGCCTTTCCTGGCCTGAGCGGTTGAGGCAGCCAGGGGCTTTGGTGTACTCTTCCTGGGTGCAGCGCGCCTTTTCCCTCCGCGTCGAGTGGCCCAGGCAGCCAGAGGCTTGGGCGCACTCTCCCCAGGTACGGCGCGCTTTTCCCCTCCGCGGCCCCAGCGCACGCCACCAGTCGGGTCTCAGGAAGTCTTTAGATAGGAACCAGGGGCCTGTTTGCAGTGTGGGAGAGGGTGGCTTCTCAGGGGCTGAGTTTGCCCTTTTCCCCTCCCCCCTGCCTCCTACCTCCAGCGGGGATGGGCTGGCTCCTCTCTGGACTTTCTCAGTCCCTTTGTTTTGCGAACCGCAGGCAGTGTGTTCCGGCCGGTTAATTTTGTCCCACCGTTTAAAACAAGCTCCCTCCGATTGCTCTCAGGGTCTTCGGGCCGGTCCTTACCCTAAGCAATGCCGCCCGCTCCTCTCCATTCCGCCCCCGCTTGTTGCTGGCGGGTGCGGGCGCCTGGGGTACTTTTCTGCTGGGAGTTGCTTTTAGGCACGTAATCTGTGGGCTTTATTTAATTTTTCCTCCCAGTTAGATTGCCGAAAACTTCCCCCAGTCCCGCCAGTGCGAGGGTTTCCTGGTGATTGGAAACTTCCTCTATTAAGACTCCCTTCCCGGGATGGGTCTCCGTCCGTAGCTCTTTTGTGTCCCTTTTTATCTTTTAGATTTTGTCCTACCTCCCTTCGAAGGCAATGGGCTGCTTTTCTGGGCGCCTGATGTCCTCTGTTAGCGATCAGAAATTGTTTTGTGAAATTTGCTCAGTGTTCAAATGTTCTTTCGATGAATTTGTAGGGGAGAAAGTGGTCTCCCCGTCCTATTCCTTCGCCATCTTCGCTCCTCCTCTACTATCATTATTCTAAATTCTTTTTCAGGTAGATTCCCTATTTCCTCCTCTTTTGTTTGACTTGGTGGGCTTTTTTCATGTTCCTTTACCTGTTGGGTATTTCTCTGCCTTTTCATCTTGTTTAAATTGCTGTGTCTGGAGTGGGCTTTCTGTATTCTTGTGGTCTGTGGTTCCTTTTTATTGTGGAGGTTTCACCCAGTGGGTGGGGTTGGACGATTGGTTTGTCAAGGTTTCCTGGTTAGGGAAGCTTGTGTCAGTGTTCTGGTGCATGGAATTGGATTTCTTCTCTCTGGAGTGCAATGGAGTGTCCAGTAATGAGTTTTGGGATGGGTCTTTGTGTTACGTGTGACTTTGGACAGCCTGTATGTTAACACTCAGGTCTATGTTCCTGGGTTGCTAAATATTTGCATAGTATGTCTTGTACTAGAGCTTATTGCCTCTTGGGTGGTGGCTGGTTTTAGTGTAGGTATGGAGGCTTTTGGATGGTCTCTTATTCCTTAATGTTCCATGTAGTCAGGAGTTTTATGGTTTTCTCACGTTTTGGGCTTAAGTCTCCTGCTTCTGGATTTCAGTTTTATTCTTCCAATAGTCTCAAGACTTCTCCAACTATACAGCACTGATAATAAAACTTATAGGTTAAAGGTGAAAAGATTCTCCACCGTGAGAGAAAACCAGACAGATTCACAGAGTTACATGAAGAATAGGAGAGGGAGGAAGGAGATAGAGGTGAGCAGGAGAGTAAAAGGGGACTCAAGAGGAGAGAGACAGATCTACGCAGTTATCTGTTCCCAAAGTGTTCTCTGTAGCCCAGACACCCACAAAGATTCACAGAATTGGATTGGGAAGAGAAGGGGAAAGGAGGAAATTGAGGTGTTCTGAGGTAGAAAACAGAGAGTCAAAAGTGGGAGAGTAATCACCACACTCCTGAATAGAAATGGGAACTGAATATTGGATTCTTAAATGTCCAAAATTTATATCACATACTGAAAAGCAAAGATTAAAAATCTAGTGTAGAGGTTAGACTCTTTGAAATACAATATTTAAAAACAAAAACAAAAACAAAAAAAATTTAGAAATGTATATAAAGTTTGGTTTCAAAATAGGCTTTCTCTCTCTCTCTCCCTTCTTTTTTTTTTGGCAAGGTTATAGTGAAATGAACATGAAAATTAAGGAATAATAGAGGAGCATTAGAGGACTTTTAAAGGAAATAGAAGAGAAAAACAAGAAAAAGAAAAAAAAATTTCCCTTAATTAAAAAAATCATAAAAATATATGAAAATGAAAGTTGAGGAGTAATGGGGGAGTAATAGGGAATTTTAAGAGGAAATAAAAGAGAAAAAATAAAAAAAATTAAAAAAGGAAAGAAAAAAAATTTTTTTTTAATTAGAAAAAAAAATTTTTTTAAATTAAAAAAAATAGATATATATCTAGGAATTTCTCTGGAGTTGTTGCAGTCAGTGTAGGTTCAGTTCAATTTCAGATAGCTCCTCTTTCCAGCTTACACTTCTGGATATCAATAGGCCCCTTCCGTTGTAGTCGGTGTTACCTTCAGGGATTTTAATCTGTTGCACCGGTCCTTTCTGAAGCGGTTCCCTTTGTTTATTGTGGCTTCTCTTCGGTGTCTAATTTCTGCCCTGACACAGGCGAGTGGAGGTGATCTCTTATTTAGGTTCGCTAGTTCAGTTTAGTCCTGCTACGGGGAGGGCGGTGCACTGCAGACAGATACCGCTCCGTGTGGCTAGCACTCACCGGCCACACTGGGTTTGCCCCGCTCACGGGTGTCAGTGCTTTCCCCGTCTACACTGCTCAGGCTCCCGGCTGCTCTATATGGAGCGGGCCCTGCATTGAGTGCGGTTCCAGTTTTTGGGTACTCCACAAAAGCGCAGATTTGGTTGCACCTGCGTTTTGTGCCTTTCCTGGCCTGAGCGGTTGAGGCAGCCAGGGGCTTGGGTGTACTCTCCCTGGGTGCAGCGCGCCTTTTCCCTCCGCGTCGAGCGGCCCAGGCAGCCAGAGGCTTGGGCACACTCTCCCCAGGTACGGTGCACTTTTCCCCTCCACGGCCCCAGCGTGCACCACCAGTCAGGTCTCAGGAAGCGTTTAGATAGGAACCGGGCCCTGTTTGCAGTGTGGGAGGGGGTGGCTTCTCAGGGGCTGAGTTTGCCCTTTTCCCCTCCCCCCTGCCTCCTACCTCCAGCGGGGATGGGCTGGCTCCTCTCTGGACTTTCTCAGTCCCTTTGTTTTGCGAACCGCAGGCAGTGTGTTCCGGCCGGTTAATTTTGTCCCACCGTTTAAAACAAGCTCCCTCCGATTGCTCTCAGGGTCTTCGGGCCGGTCCTTACCCTAAGCAATGCCGCCCGCTCCTCTCCATTCCGCCCCCGCTTGTTGCTGGCGGGTGCGGGCCTCTGGGTTATTTTTCTGCTGGGAGTTGCTTTTAGGCACGTAATCTGTGGGCCTTATTTAATTTTTCCTCCCAGTTAGATTGCCGAAAACTTCCCCCAGTCCCGCCAGTGCGAGGGTTTCCTGGTGATTGGAAACTTCCTCTATTAAGACTCCCTTCCCAGGACAGGTCTCCGTCCGTAGCTCTTTTGTGTCCCTTTTTATCTTTTAGATTTTGTCCTACCTCCCTTCGAAGGCAATGGGCTGCTTTTCTGGGCGCCTGATGTCCTCTGCTAGCGATCAGAAGTTGTTTTGTGAAATTTGCTCAGCGTTCAAATGTTTTTTCGATGAATTTGTAGGGGAGAAAGTGGTCTCCCCGTCCTATTCCTCTGCCATCTTGGCTCCTCCCCCCTTTTCTAATCATTTTTTTGAGGCACATTATTATCAGAATTTTATGCATTTACAATAGCAAAGACATAGGTTTGATTACAGGTTCTGTTCTGCAGTCTGGGATAAGTCATATGACCATGTGGTATCTCAGTCTCCCCCTCAGTAAAATGGTGGAATGTAAGAAAACAAACCCTCCAAATAGAATATCTTGGAGATAGTGAAGTGACGGATATAAGGTACCTGATAAATAAGAAGTCTCAACAATGACAGCCATTAGCATTGCTGTTGCCATCCCACTCTATCCTTCTCATAGAACCTAAAGGAAGGAGGTAGAAGGGGGACTCTTATGCCCTTTAACAAGGGAGCAATTTGAAATGCAAGAGGTTACTGAGTTGGCTGTGGTCACACTGCTTGTCCGATATAAAACTGTATATCAAACAGTGTATCTTTCTCCAAGTTGTAAGAGAAGAAGGAGTTGAAAGAAGAATCCGGGAGATAGGGAACAAGTAAGCGAAATTCAGAGGCTCGAGAAGGAAGGATGAGTCAAATGAAAAATTAAAAGAAAACAACACAGAGACAAATACACTCACAGAGACTTCCAAAGAGATGGAGAGGAAAATGATAGTGATACAGAGATGCAGACATAGACATATACACACTGAGGTAAACAGGGGACAAAGTGGACTTGTTGAATAAAATGTAGAATAGTGCTATTCCACAGGACCACACCTATATCTGTATAGACTGTGCACTGAACGGCTGTAAGGACCTGCATTTTCAAAGGTCATGACTCTACCCCAAGCGTTGTGAAACCATGCAAATCTACACCAAGACCCTTGGGATCCACAGTTCCTAAATCAAAGTACTTATCAATAAGTAAGAGCTGAACTTTACGACTGTCAGGGAAATAGTCCATTCCCATCTAAACCTGATGGCTGGAAGAATAATCAGATGAAAAGAGAAATCCGAGAAAGAATGATGATGCAGCTTACAATCCCCATACTTACTTGACTATGCACTCTGAGAAGGCCACCAGCCCGAGGAGCACAAGCCACTTCATGCTTCTTTCCTGGCTCCAAGTACTCAGGGAAGTTCGGGTTCTGAGCATGCAGTGGTGACCATGAGCCCCTAGTTATATATGCTCTGACATACCCTAGTTTTCCCCTTTATGCCACTAATAGATCTGATGAAAGCACAAAACTTTTGATAAAATCTTTACCTTCCTCAGCGTCCTTGGCGAGTGGACTTTGAAGTTACTCAGAATACAGACAATTGAACTGTAATCTCTTCCTTGAATCTTGGCTGGAAAATCTACCTGATCTGCGCGGACATCTAAGAAGAAGGAGAACCTTGCCTACTTGTAGGAAAAAAACTGCTAAGAACATCATGAAAATGGTAACTAGGGGCCATACTCGACAATAATGGTTTCATCTCATCTTCCTAGCCACTTCATGAGATATGCATTGCTGTCTTTGTTGGAGAGGAGATTGCTACGAGGATAAATTTTCAGACGGCAAAGTGAAGACTTCAGGGACAGCCCAGGGACCTACAACTGTCCTTAGGTAGTGGGTCTAATGGCAGAGATCGGGGCACCTGTGATGTCAGTCTGCATCAAAGGTTTATGGCAGAGTTGTGCTTCAATTGCATGGGTTTCAGTATTGGAAAAAAATGTCATATGCATCCACAAGATATTTTATATCATCCAACAAACATACAAGGAAGAACTTTGTGCTGGGTTCTGGGTTAAAGGCTTCAAAGTCAAAGTTGATCAAGACAAAAGTAGTCTTTATCTTAAGAGAGCCAGCAGTCTAGTTCTCACAAACTCACGGCCCCATGAGGCAAGAGAAATGATTGTCACACTAGGTGGTTATGCTGGACCCTGGACAGCACAGGCCTGACCACTGGGAGCAGCCTTTCCTCTGCTTCAACCGTGCTGGAAAGCAGGCCAGGTGGCCATGTTTCAAGAGAATCAGAAGTTTGGATGTTTGTGTCCAATCTACTGATTTTAATGGTAACAACTAATTTTTTCTTCCCCAAAAAACAGTGGGAACAAAATCTCCACAACGATGTGCTGGAATCAGCGTTCAGTTTCTGCAGGTTTTTATTTCTAGCCTCGACTTGGGAGTAGAGTGGGGAAAGATAGGAATGTAATTCAAGTTGGTTGATTTACAAAGAGACTGAATGCATACTGAACATGTTTGTTTCTTTTCTATTCATAAAGAAAGATCGTCGGGGACATACAGACCAACAAATTTAACTGCTGAAGATAAATGGATATATTTCTGATATAATTTCCCCCCTAGGGTCTATAACATGAAAAATTTTGTCTACTGAAGCAAACATACAAAAAAATTTGAAATGTCTTCAGTATCAAAGAAGTCCAAACAGCTGTGACAGCCAAAGTAAAGACAATCTTGTTTAATGACTCATCCAGGACTCCCTGGGCCTATTCCTGCATGAGATCTATCCAGGCTTTTCCCTTAAATACAACAGGGGCCTCTCCTGTTGCCAGGTGTATGTAGGTGGGGCACTGTGTCTTAATCCTCATTTTTGCATTTTGTTTCAATTCAGTTTTGGTGAGTAAATCCCAACAGGGGGGATATGACATCACTCAGAATTGCACACATATATGCTCTTTGAACTACGGCATTGGAAAAGACTCGTTTGTTTTTTTGTTGTGGTGGTGGTTTATTTCATTTTTTATTAGTTACAGGCTAATTACTTTATATTGTAGTGTTTTTTGCCATACATTGACATGAATCAGCCATGGATTTACATGTGTTCCCCATCCCAATCCTTCCTCCTGCCTCCCTCTCCTTCCCATACCTCTTGGTCTTCCCAGTCCACCAGTCCTGAGCACTTGTGCATCCAACCTGAGCTGGTGATCTGTTTCAACCTTGATAGTATACGTGTTTCAACTCTATTCTCTCGAATATCCCACCCTTGCCTTGTCCCACAGAGTCCAAAAGTCTGTTCTGTACATTTGTGTCTCTTTTTCTGTTTTGCATATAGGGTTATCATTACCATCTTTTAAAATTCCATATATATGCATTAGTATACTGTATTGGTCTTTATCTTTCTGGCTTACTTCACTCTGTATGATGGGCTCCAGTTTCATCCATTCCATTAGAACTGATTCAAATGAATTCTTTTTAATGGGTGAGTAATATTCCATAGTGTATATGTACCATAGATTCCTTATCCATTCATCTGCTTATGGGCATCTAGGTTACTTCCACGTCCTGGCTATTATCAACAGTGCTGTGATGAACACTGGGGTGCATGTGTCTCTTTCAGATCTAGTTTCTTTGGTGTGTATGCCCAGGAGTGGGATTGCTGGGTTGTATGGCAGTTCAATTTCCAGTTTTTTAAGGAATCCCCACACTATTCTCCATAGTAGCTGTACTAGCTCACATTCCTAACAATAGGGTACGAGGGTTCCCTTTTCTCCACACCCTCTCCAGCATTTATTGCTTGTAGACTTTTGGATAGCAGCCATCCTGACTGGCATGTAATGGCACCTCATCATGGTCTTGATTTGCATTTCTCTGATAATGAGTGATGTTGAGCATCTTTTCATGTGTTTGTTAGCCATCTGTATGTCTTCTTTGGAGAAATGTCTGTTTAGCTTTTTGGCCCATTTTTTGTTCGAGTCATTTACTTTTCTGAAATTAAGCTGCAGGAGTTCTTGTACATTTTTGAGATGAGTCCTTTGTCTGTTGCTTCATTTGCTATTATTTTCTCCCATTCTGAAGGCTGTATTTTCACCTTCCTTATAGTTTCCTTTATTGTGCAAATGCTTTTAAGTTTAATTAGGTCCCATTTGTTTATTTTTGCTTTTATTTCCAATATTCTGGGAGGTGGATCATAGAGGATCCTGCTGTGATTTCTGTCGGAGAGTGTTTTGCCTATGTTCTCCTCTAGGAGAACATTTATAGATTCTGGTCTTACATTTAAATCTTTAATCCATTTTGAGTTTATTTTCGTGTATGGTGTTAGAAAGTGTTCTGGTTTCAGTATTTTACAAGTGGTTGACCAGTTTTCCCAGCACGACGTGTTGAAGAGGCTGTCTTTTATCCAATGTATATTCTTGCCTCCTTTGTTGAAGATAAGGTGACCATAGGTTCGTGGATTTATCTCTGGGCTTTCTATTCTGTTCCATTGATCTATATTTCTGTCTTTGTGCCAGAACCATACTGGCTTGATGAGTGTGGCTTTATAGTAGAGCATGAAGTCAGGCAGGTTGATTCCTCCTGTTCCATTCTTCTTTTTCAAGATTGCTTTGGCTATTTGAGTTTTTTTTTTTTGTATTTCCGTACAAATTGTGAAATTATTTGTTCTAGTTCTGTGAAAAATACCGTTGGTAGCTGACAGGGATTGCATTGAATCTATAGATCGCCTTGTGTAGCATAGGCATTTTCACAATATTGATTCTTCCAATCCATGAATGAAGTACATTTCTCCATCTGTTTGTGTCCTCCTTGATTTCTTTCATCAGTGTTTATAGTTTTCTATATATAGGTCTTTTGTTTCCTTAGGTGGATATACTCCTAAGTATTTTATTCTTTTTGTTGCAATGGTGAATGGTATTGTTTCCTTAATTTCTCTTTCTGTTTTCTCATTCTTAGTGTATAGGAATGCAAGGGGTTTCTGTGTGTTAATTTTATATGCTGCAACATTACTCTATTCAGTGATTAGGTCTAGTAATTTTTTGGTAGAGTCTTTAGGGTTTTCTATGTAGAGGATCATGTCATCTGCAAACAATGAGAGCTTTACTTCTTCTTTTCCTATCTGGATTCCTTTTATTTCATTTTCTGCTGTGATTTCTGTGGCCATCACTGCCAAAACTATGTTCCATAGTAGTGGGGTTAGTGGGCACCCTTGGCTTGTTCCGGACTTTAAGGGAAATACTTTCAATTTTTCACCATTGAGCATGATGTTTGCTGTGGGTTTGTCATATATAGCTTTTATTATGTTGAGGTATGTTTCTTCTATACCTGCTTTCTAGAAAGTTTTTATCATAAATGGATGTTGAATTTTGTCAAAGGCTTTTTCTGCATCTATTGAGATATTCACATGGATTTTATCTTTCAATTTGTTAATGTGGTATATTACATTTATTGATTTGCAGATATTAAAGAATCCTTGCATCCCTGGGGAAAAGCCTACTTGGTCATTCATTATGTATGATCTTTTTAATATGTTCTTGATTTCTGTTTGCTAGAATTTTGTTAAGGATTTTTGCATCTATGTTCATCAGTGATATTGGCCTGTAGTTTTCTTTTTTGTGGCATCTTTGTCTGGTTTTGGTATTAGGGTGATGGTGGCCTCATAGAATGAGTTTGGAAGTTTGCCTTCTTCTGCAATTTTCTGGAAGAGTTTGAGTAAGATAGGTATTAGCTCTTCTCTAAATTTTTGGTAGAATTCAGCTGTGAAGCCATCTGGTTCTGGGCTTTTGTTTGCTGGAAGATTTCTGATTACATTTTCACTTTCCGTGCTTGTGATTGGTCTGTTGAGATCTTCTATTTCTTCTTGGTTTCATTTTGGAAAGTTATACTTTTCTATGAACTTGTGAATTTCCTCCAAGATGATTATTTTATTGGCATATAGCTGCCAGTAGTGGTCTCTTATGTTCCTTTGTATTTCAGTGCTGTCTGTGGTGATCTCTCCATTTTCATTTCTAATTTTGTTGATTTGCTTCTTCTCCGTTTGTTTCTTGATGAGTCTGGCTAATGGTTTGTCCATTTTATTTACCTTTTCAAAAAACCAGCTTTTAGCTTTGCTGATTTTTCTATGGTCTCTTTTGTTTGTTTTGTATTTATTTCTGCCCTAATTTTTAAGATTTCCTTCCATATTCTAACCCTGGGGTTCTTCATTTCTTCCTTCTCTAGCTGCTTTAGGTGTAGAGTTATGTCATTTATTTGACTTTATTCTTGTTTCTTGAGGTAAGCCTGTATTGCTATGAACCTTCCACTTAGCACTGCTTTTACAGTGTCCCATAGGATTTGGGTTGTTGTGTTTTTATTTTCATTCATTTCTATGCATATTTTGATTTATTTT